ATTTTCTGTGCTTTAATATGGTCTCTTTTAGGGGTCAAAGAGGCTTGGGCTACGCCCGGATTAGTCTCTTTTAGGGGTTTAATTCAAAATTTCTGATGAGCATCCCCACCCCTTTCATATGTGGAGTCCCCCCCCCCCCCCGGGATTCAAACAAGGCACTCAGAAATACAGTGGTCAAACTGGCACAAAAAAGGGTAGAAAGTGAATTCTGTTTGCCTGTTTCTACTTATTAAGGTGACAAATACGATACACTAAGAATCAGTCTGCAAACTTGGTAGATTCACCTTGGATTATAAATGGCTGACAACATGGTTTGTGTCCAGATTTTTCGCACTTGGTATCATATTTAAGCGCTAAGTCAGAACAATTTCCCAGTGGGCATAGAGCAATAATTTTACTTTAGATTGTGCCCTCATAAAAATTTAAATTACTGCAAGGACAAGCGTATTTATTGTAAAAGCATTTAAAAAAGGGAAAAACTAAGAATTGACAGACGTTTTGCTTTTTAGACGAAGCAAGCCTTTGACTTTTGTTTAATGTCCTCTCTTTAGTTGAATCTTTATTGTTGCATATAGGAGTGACTTCAAAACGAATTTGACACTAGTCCATTTTACAGTTACAGGTGGAAACGAGGCAGAAGTTGACCTTGTTTTGATAATTTTGATTCTTATGGTAACTAGTATTTTAAGCATAATTTCCATACGAAAAGGAAAGAGGTTTGTATCAAACAAGGTCAACTCAGCTTCACGTTCACTCAGAGGCTAGGATACTAAGCTCATTACTGTAAAATGGTATTTTTTCTTTCGACCAAATAAATTAATCACATCATTACATTTGGGTTTGGTATTTTAGTTCGTTTATCTCTTATTTTAACTATATATGAGTTAATTTTTCATATAGGAATTTAACTAGCCTGCGTAGCAAGCGTTTTCGTTTGTTTTCGGAGCAAAGAAAGGGCAAGGAACGAGAGTTTCGGTATAGCGAAGCGCGCGGTTTCTAAAAATAGATTACATACAGGGGCGGATCCAGGATATCTTTTAGGAGGGGGTGCACTCGTCTCTTGCTCCACTTCAACACCAATAAACCACATAGTTTTTTTTTTTTAGCAGAATACCAGTTGTATTAGAAAACCGCAGGTCATCTCAGGGGAGGGGGGGTGTGCACCCCCTGCACCCTTCCTCTAGATCCGCCCCTGACATATTTCTGTACCCCCGCGAGACTCAGACAAACATTGGCGTTTCAGAGAGGAAAAGAGGGAATTTAGGCAAAGTTTTTGAGTCAAAAAAGGCGTTTTTAGGCCTTTAATTTTGTTCGGTGCCAGGCGTTATTGTTGGAGCCATGCAAAAGGGATTCTAGGTATCCAGGAAAGCTACACAGATCGCTGAAAGAAATACTGAATTCGATTGCGAAAATTTCTATTACCCCTGTCGGATGTCACGGAAGCCATTGCAAGAATTTGACCGCTGTCAAGACTCGATTAATTAACGCTTGTTCCCGTGAAAATTTTACGGTCGATAATATTACCAGAAACACAAACGCTTGTGGATTTTACTGGCTAGACGAAGGGTATTTTACCAGTCGAATGCGTCTATCGAACAAACTAAACACGATTTTGACCAGTCCAGATCGAAACACGAGGATCAGTTAAGGTTCGAAAAAAAGTAAGCATGCACAACTGTTAGCAAACTGCCTTTAAGAGGCAAGAACTAAGCAATCAATCGAAACGATAAATGATTTTCCTCACTTAACATATATAAGCAGTCGTGACCTCCCTCAAGGTAGTTAGGGACGGGCCATTAGAAAATTTATGGGGGTTGGGGGGGGGGCGGGGCGAAGTACCAAAAAATATTCGCGCAAGTATTCATGCTATGGCCTAAAAAAAAATTCATACAAGGAATTTCGGTAACGAAAAAAAATTCCTGCGGCTCGAAAATCCCCCATAACTTTTCTAATGGTCCGTCCCTTAGTGCAAAAGACCAAGAAAACTGAAAACCTGTACCGCCACACAATATACAGTTTATACTGTTACATTGAGATCAATTTCTTTGAACATCAATAAGCATTGAAAGCAGCTCAAAGCTACCTTACTAAAGAGCTTTTAAAATATATTACGCTTCCCTTGCGGCGACGCATTACCGATTACTTCGTTCTACAGTTAACTCTTTCTAAGACGGACACCTTTGGGACCGGTACTAAGTGTCCATCTTAGAGGGATGTCCGTCTTATAGAGAGTCAAATAAAAGGAGTAAAGAAAGGCAGGGACCAACTCTAGGTGTCCGTTTTACAGAGGTGTCCGTCTTATAGAGGTGTCCTTTTAGAGTCGACTGTAGTTTTCAACAGGCAATATCACAGTACATGTTTAAGTCCTGTTTATTTACTCTCTTAGATGCTCTTTCCAGAAGGTTGAATGCAGAATTTATTACTTACCATCGTCTGTACTTCAGTCAAGAATTGTCGAAGGACTTTTTCTAGAGCGAGCGAATCACTCACACTTGTAAACAAATAACTCCTTTTACCTGCTTGCTTGAAGCCCGGCTTTTACTCTTTACTTTAGTTGCTCATCAGCATAGTTTGAACCCGGGTCTCTGTCATATTCTGTAACAATTAAGGCCACTGTCGCGCGCTCGAAGAAATCTTTAATTCTCGCCAAGCGAGTTTATAATCTCGTCGAGCGCGAAACGCGCGCACCACGTGAACCGCGCGTGGTCTTAGCCAGATGCAAAATTCGATGTCCCATAGCCTGCGCAGTGCGGAAGGGCAGTGCAGGCGTTTTCTTCTGGCGCGGGAAGCGCATGTTGAAACTTTCGCCCTAGTACCTACCCTTAGGGTTACTTTTTTTACTCTCCTTAATCTTCCTCGGTCATATCAAAGATGGCGGTTACAACAGTACGAACATAAACAGGCAGCTTTCGCCCGCCCAAAATACGCCTGCACTGCAGGCTACGTTGGAAGCTTCTACCGATTCTTCTACAAGGTGGCGGTCATGACTTGTAGGGGAGCTGGTGGAATGTCTTTGGCTTCCTGTGGAAATGGAAATGGAAAAAAGGCCGCCACAAATCCCAGGGGCGCGTGATTCGTCCATTAGTTGCAGTTGTGCTGGATGGGCCTAAAAAGGCTCGCTCTGCTCGCCGAGAGGTCGCCTTGTAGTAAGTCTAAAGGTGTTGCGGAAACTATTTCGCCCCGGGAAACTTTTGCTTGTGGAATCTGGCTCCTGTGGTAGTAGAATCCGGATTCCCGGGCTTTGAAATCCCGAATGCAGCTCGAGGAGTCCGGAAACCCACTGATAATCGTAATTCAGAGGTTCCATTGACAAAGACTGGAATCCAAGTACCTGACCTAGAATCCAAAATCCATTCAAACCTGTGTTGGAGTCCCTTACGTCGGTGAACTATGTACTTACAATTGGTTCAGAATATGGATTAAAGTACGCTGTTTGATTTGGAAAACGTGGTGTCTTTTCACTGTGTAATCTTTTGTTTGGTTCCGGAGCATGCGAGCATTCAGTCATCACGCCAAGTAGCGGCTTGAACCTCATTCAAGACCTCCTCTCAGATCTATTTGCAATAATAATTAATTGTTTTCTGATATAAGGACAGGATGTGAGAAATTACCAGGCAGCGCACTTGCGTCAAACATTTCAATCGCCCCCCCCCAGGAATCTTTCCTGAACCATGGGTTAGCTTTTTCTTCAAAATTTAAATGTCACTCATCAAAGCCGCGATCGAGTTCTTGATGTCCTTATAATTACAGTGAGATTTTGGGGTAGAATGAATGTCAGAGGGAATGACAATCACGTTGTTTTTCATTTTATTTTTCTTCAGTAATGTGGCCTTTTAATTTCTTGGGGCTAAATGTTTTGGTTTTTTTTCTTTTTTCACCCTATTAAATTTCCTGTTGAGTTTTTAGTTATTTATCGTGGGTTCTTCAAAAAGCAAATCTATTTAACAACCTGCACCTCTAATAAAGTTTATTAGTCAGGGAAATGTGAAGCAACGACGGGGGATCATTTAAGCGGGTTTAGAACACGTGTTTTGCCACAGAATGCGGGTCTTAAGACGAAAACAACAAAGTGTGATCATCGCCTCTTAGGCGATCTTGGATAGGTCGAGCGGAATCCCTTTGAAATCATTTCTGAACTTTGAAAAAAAAAGTTGTGTTCCAAACCGTAAAGCACAAAGAAACTGAAAAATCGATTTTATTTGAGAGATCTGGTCTGACCCAAACGGGAGACCAGGAGATTTGCATAGCGCCGTATCAAGAGACTCCAGGATAAGCCGGGATTCATAGCTGGCGTTATGCAGCTACTACCAAGGTTTCAATAAAAACTGAAACGGTAGCATTCATATAATTGTCGGCGCCATGTATCAATATAATTTTGCTCAGGCACCTACGAAGGAATCGAAGGCTCGTTAACTTTGAAAAAAAAAAGATTTGATGTCTTTAACTAACTATTTATACATACATCCTATCCCATGTTTCCAATCTATTATAAGTGGTCATAAACTAAAGTCCAACTGAATAAACAAAAAAACTCATCAGACGTTTGAACACGTTGTAAAAGTCAGCAGGTATAATATTTAACTCAATTTCAAGCAGACCTAATAAATTTGTATAGATTTTACTTAATAAATCGAACTGTTTTCACTTTTTAAATGTTTAGTTAACACCAGAAGCATGAAGGAACTCGAAACTGATTGAAACATCGCACAGTTGGGCGACTTCCGCTTTTCCTGTTTCGAAAAATTATAAATTAATTAAGTTATTTCAAGAGCCATAATGGTTATTTGAAGCTTATAAAAAGGTAATGGGCAACACAAACACAGTTCCTTAAATATACACCAATATTGTTAAAGATAATATTTGTTCTCGTGATGATTTGTTCCTTTTCATATGATCACGTCTCATATTTTCGCGCCATTTTCGGGGATTGGAAGACTTCCATATAAGGAATGCGGAAAACCAATTGCCTTGTCACGACAGTTCCCGGATGCTCGGTGAATAAGTAATGAAAGGATATGGCGGCGCGTGTATCGTATTCTGAGAGGAAAACAGTCAACGAAAGAGCTATTTTCCATTAAAATACGAATGATAGCCATTCGCTGGAAGAGTGACTGGCTTATGGGGTCGAAACACTGACAAATCTGCTTATAAAGGCGCCGTTTCGACTTAAAATACGGCGATCAGACTGCCATGAGTTCCAAAGTTAAAGTCGCAGTTCGTGTCAGGCCATTCAATCGGCGAGGTATGTTTGCCTTACTCTTGATTGAAAACCTCACAATCATTTTGCCTTTAACAAGCTGAAGTGGATTTCCGTCTGTTTTTTTTTTTTAAAACAGAAATTGAATTGGGTACCAAATGCGTCGTCGAAATGGATGACACACAAACGATTTTATATTCCACCGCCGGCTCACGAGACAGGTACGTAAACTAAGCTCATAAGAACGTCTTTGCGACACGTTTTTATTTGTTTTTGTATATTTTGGAACTGATTACCAATGGTTTCATGTATTTTTACTCCGATCTGTCTGGTGCACTTTCTTATTATAACCAAAGTAAAACTGCGAATGGTTGCTTTGATTTTTAAGGTATTTATTTTTTTAACGAGGCGCCTTAGTTCAACGTAGTTGCTGAAGCCAGAACCGTTATATTATAATCGTATTCAGCTGTCCACATCTATTGGACATGACTCTCTTTTTCTTGTTGTTTGTTTCTCCCTTATTTTTCCAGGAAACGACTAAACATTTTTTGATTAACGGAAGCGTGACATTGTCGACCGCTCATTTGCAAATTTCTCGATATTTCCTTTTTTGCTGCAAAAATTAAGCTTTAATTTGATAAAGTAATAGAATGACACTGATTTGTCAGGTTTCATGCTAACTTGTATCTCTCGTTATTTAAGATACGATTGATTCATAGGTGTCTAAATTGTTCACTCACCTACATAATCGGTATTGGAACCAAGATATATTACTGTTATCGTGTTTATTATCGCTATATATCGTCGGAAAAAATAGCACGTTTCCTGCTTTTTCCGTTTGTCTAAGTCGCTAAAGTTATTAAGCGTGTTTTATTTTCCACCTGAAGTAAGCTCATTAGAATTTGCGTTTATGTTCACTATAGAAAGACAATCGTATTGATTTGTTTTACTACTTCAACTACACGGGCTTCTGAGCGTAAAATTATATCGTTTGCAGCAGTGTTGTATTGAAATTCCTATTAATTTCAGGACAGCCATTTAATTAAAGTTTTAACGATCTCACCAAAGGATGTACTAAAAATATAGCGTCTTGATAAACTGTGTCGTATTGTTTTAGGACAGGAAGTTGTGTTTAGCTTATTGAAGTGGAAATTATCTATGCATGCAGCCTTCGAGAATGTTTCCTTGCGGCCACTTATCACGAGTTGTAAACAAACGATTCAAGGCACATTGCCTTTATTTTAAAATATAAACATATGTAAATATAAAAGGCTTAAAAAGTAAACATTTCACCATGCAAGAGTCTTATCTTTCCAGTGAGATATTTACATTTCAGAGTAGTTCACAATTTATTTAAATATGTTGAAATTGCGTTGTAATCACGTAGAGTTTATTGCTGCAGGCAATGTGGTAGTTGCGGCAATTTTTTGCGTTCTTTGCTAAATGAATAAAAGAAATCACCGAAATTTGTTGAATATGTTCTTATACGTGATGCAATGTAATTTGCTAACGTTGTATTTTTGTCTTTATTTTCCTATTTATTCGTGGATTAAACAGGAAGCACACAAAGGTACTATATGTGGAGGATTTTTTAAGTTTGTTAATTCCATTCATGCAGATAAAAATGTCCCTGTGCTATAAATGGGACATATTTTAAATGCATTCTTGTTTATTATTAATGTTTCTGCATGACTGCAAAGTGATACTGTATGATGTTTCTTCAAACTATGTGTATATACTGTATTCATAAACTATTATGTAACACTGTCTCCACACCAGCTGCATGTAGGGGATGTTCCTATTGTCATTATATTCCTATTGTGTTGTTTTTCTTTTTTTCTTTCTTTCTTTTTTTTTCACGCTGGTAACATGAACTACTACATTATAGTGTTAGTCATTATTTAAAATAATTCTCCACTTCTGATTTTGCCTTATCCTCGGGCTATTTTCTTTATAAGCAAGGGTTGACCAAATTTGGAAGTTATTTGCTGTAAAGTTATGATTGACACCAATCATGAATTATCACACTTAGGACCAGTTTACATGGAGGTGGAGGACCTTAAGTAGGTGAGGTAACCCGTCTGTCCATATGCTGGTAATCTCTCATTTAAATTTGATCACGTTTACATGATAGGTGAGGTGACCATATGAGAGATTATATGGACAGGCAGGCTATCCCACCTTAACAGGTTACCTCACCTACCTCAGGTCCTTTACCTCCATGTAAACAGACCCTAAAAATGAGACACAGATGTGAGGCAAAGAAGTGGTACGTGGTTGCTCAGGTGTTTCAGCAGTGCAGACCTGGAGAAAATTTGAGACAATTTTACATGTTATTTAAAAATGAAATAGCTGAACTCAAAGCTATTCTGTAAGAAAAAGTGAAGGGAGCCCAGTGCTCTGAGGCTGTGAAATCCAGGGTGCCCAGCATATGAATTTCTGTGAAAAAAGCTAAGATTTTCTAGTCACATGGTTGCAAAAGTTAGGCGCCATGCGCCACCAAGACTGCTAGAGCACAGCCTTGGAACTACCATCAAAGGAATAATATGTGCAGAAAGAAGAACTCTAAAAAAATTCTGAGTTCTGCATAGGAATTGAACCCATGACCTTCATTCTGCCAAAACTCAGTCAAATTCTAAGTTCTTGGTTTCTAGAAACTCTTTTATGTGTATATCCCAAAACAACACTGAATACCCTTCCTGTCTTATAATAACCTTGAGTTTTAAAACGTCAGAGATTATTTTAACGAATTTCTTTTTCCCTATGGGTTTTGAAAGGTTGGGATTCTACATTTCTGTGTCCTAAAACTGTGCCTTAAGTTTTAGACCTTGTAATGACATGGGAGCTTTGAAGTTGATTAACCCTTGAAGTCTCAGTAGTGACCAACATCAGTTTTCTCCTAACAATATCCCTACAATCTCAAGAGATTAGGTTATGAGAATTAACAAAATGATCACCTAAGAGACAATGCTTTCATCTTTTATCAATTTCTCTCAACCCATCCATGAAGGAAATGTATAGAGATCAGTTTGGAGAATTTGTATGTGGATAAAGGGCTAAGAACATGTATCAATTTTTTTCTTTCCTTCTAACAGACATTTGCATTTGATCACTGCTTTTGGTCAATGGATGATTCTGATGGCAAATATGCAAGTAAGACAAAGTTGATATTAGGCATTATGTTTAAGATCTTAGATCTTGCATGTTACAAAGGCCCAGAACTCCCTGATTTTCTCCTTTGTCCAGGTTTTGAACTTTCAGTCAATACTTTGAACTTTAGATCTGTACTCTGTACAAATATATTTGTGGGTTGAAGATTTTGTCTTCAGGTTGTTTTCTTAGACAAGAAAATGGCTTCACTTTGTCTCTCTTCACCCATGTGTATAATTGGGTTCTGGTGACATACTGCAGGGGGTAACCCTGCAATAAGTTGCCATCCTCCTCGGGGGAGGATGTGGTGTTTTAACAAAACTCCTTTGTGCAGAAACCAGAAACTGGGATGTACTCTGGCTGTATAAATGCTGATCATTTCCTATATTTTTGTAACTGCCATGTTTCAATTAACAGTGATACCATAAAATTCCGAAAATAAGCCCTGGAGCGTATATTTTTCAAAGGCCCTTTTTGAGGGGCTTATTTTTGGAGGGGCTTACATTATTTTGGAGTGGCTCATCTATGGGGGGAAATTTGTGTTTCAAAATCAATTGGGCTAGCCTTATAGTTGGAAGTAAATTTACCATTTTTGCTTTGGTTTACTTTGTATTTGAGGGCAATTTTCCAAGTACAAGCCCCCGGGGCGCTTATATTTGGAGGGGCGATTAACGGAGGGTTTTTGCGTTACCAGTTTGGGGGGCTTATACATGGAGCGGCTTATTTTTGGAATTTTACGGTATTTTAAGGAGAAACTTGATGCTGATGCAGGTGTGACTAAAGTAGTTAGGACAAGGGTTAGAGTTTGAGTGACCCATTCCTTCCTTTGGGTATTGATAGGTGAACTTGTTTGCCACACAGTCATAAAAAGGGCTGCCATAAACTTCCAGATGTGATAGTGGCATAACTGTTCTACCCGGTAGCTTGCATTTCTCTTGGATAAGAGGCAATCTACCCATTTTTGTGGCTTTGGGTATGAGTAATTTACAGGTGTACCTCTACTCGTGCATGAAAACAGTGTATCTTAGGTCTCTTTTAGTCACACCTGCAGACTTGTATGCTGCAAAGTAATCCCTTTGGCCAGAATGTTTTTGAGGTTTTCATTCTTTATACTTAGGCCAGGAGAAAGTCTACAAGTTACTTGGTTCAGATGTTTTGGAGAATTCCCTTGAGGGGTATAATGCCTGTATTTTTGCTTATGGGCAAACAGGTAAAATTACGTGTGTGTACAGTACATAGTGATATGATTTGTGATGTAACATGATAGCGAGATGCAATTGAACAGGTGCCTGGAGCAAAGCAAGTGACTTCTGATAAAAGACTATTATCTTGTATATAAATGTACTTGCAAATCCAAGTGAGAGATGGATTTGTGTGTTGTATCTTTAATGGACTCATAATATGCAGCTATGATTTATTGATCACCCTGTCTGATACATTTTGAATGTTTTAGTTGTGTTCTTAAACACAGTACATAATGACTGCTTATTTTACAGTTGTCTGCGGTCAATAAACTCTTAAGTTTATGTTTTAGTTTGAATAGCATACAGGTGAGAAATAAATGGAATCCTTAAGAAACTTTTCTGGTTATAATACTGTCGGATTTTAATTGATGATGATTTTTTTGAGTCAATCTGATTATTTCTGATTATCAGTTTTTAAAAATCTCAACTGATTCTGAACAGCTGTACAGTGTATGGTTGAATCTCAAAGGGGTTTGTGGTAACACTGTAATATCCTGTCATTTACACTCAAAGTTAAGAAAAATACTAGTCCACAGCTACACATGTCCCTAAATTTTTACAATTAAATTAACTCTGGGAGCTTATGGTTTAAGATCTAAAGGGCTATGATGCAATAAAGTAGAACCTCAATAACTCGAACTTGGATAACTCGAATTCCTCGCTAACTCGAACTAAATTTCCCTTTCTCTTGACCACAGTTTCACTGAAATTTACCCTGATAACTCAAATTCCCCTCTAACTCCTACTGTTTTTCGTTTCCTTTCAGAGTTTGAGTTACCAGGGTTCTACTGTAGTTTTAAGTGTATGTAGTAGCTAAATGTTGCTTTTCATACTCCATTCAAGGTTCTGGGAAGACTTTTACCATGATGGGAAGCCATGATCAGAACCAGACAGGCCTTATACCACGGCTATGTGATGAGCTTTTTGATAGAATTTCAAAGGTTAATATGGAAAAATTTAACCATTTGTGGTATTTCATTACATGTATTTATTTAGTACTTATGCTGTGCTATTTACAATGTCGCTTTCCAGAATGATGATGAGAACATTACATACAAAGTTGAAGTTTCATACATTGAGATATATAATGAAAAAGTGAGGGATCTGCTTTGCCCAAGAGGGTACGTAACTAAAATTTCTTTTCAGGTTTTTTTAAATCCTATGTGCAGCTACATAATTTTGCTTTCCACACTTTCCCCTTCATCGCCTTGAGGATTTGTGCATGAAATCCACCTCACTGATCAATCATTTGCTCTACTTTAATTTAGAAATCATGCTACCTTGAGAGTCCGTGAACACAAGATTTTAGGACCTTATGTTGAAGGGCTTACAAAACTTGTTGTCTCCTCTTTCAAGGTGAGTAAAACATTGTGATTTTAAGTTTTTCTTTTCACTTTGTTCATTGAAATGTTTTTTATTTCCATTTTTGCACACTACTGGTTTACTGGCACCTCTGTTGTTGAGAAATTTCCCCCTATGAGAAAATTGAGCTAACTTTACACCAAGGTGGAAATTTATTCATTTCCCAGGGATGGAACAGTATTCAGGGTCTTAAAATAACTGAGAATTGGAGGTACTTCTTTTGTCCTGCAAATGGCTAGACCTTTGCGTGGTTCTAATGACCTCGTAAAATGGCGGTCCCATCTCCACAAAGAGATGGAAAATTAGTGTCCTTAGTCAGTACTTTCGTGCTAAATGTGCTCCATCCAATAATTGTTTGTTTTCTGATTTTAAATTTGGGTAACTAATCTCATATCCACTGTTTTTAGGATATTGAAACTCTTATGATTGAAGGCAATAAATCTAGAACTGTTGCTGCCACCAACATGAACACTGAAAGCAGCAGATCTCATGCTGTTTTTAACATTGTGTTGTCACGATCAGAATATGACAAAGAAACAGAAGTAAGTTCAATGGCTGAGCCAAAGAAATTATTTTTTGCTTATAAAGCTTACTGTTTTCAATTTTCTTGGTGTTCTCTTTGCCATTGCTCTCTTGGTTTCTTTTAAAGCTCCTTAATTATCAGTAAACAATCAGTTATTATTGTTTACTTTTGTCTAAGATCTTCACTAGCATATCTCCTTTTTTCGTTTTATAGTCAGTCGGTGAAAAAGTAAGCAAGCTAAGTCTTGTTGATTTAGCTGGAAGTGAAAGAGCAAGCAAAAGTGGAGCAGAAGGAGTGCGTTTAAAGGAGGGCAGTAACATCAACAGGTAAAAAAGCACAATGTGTGAATGGAAGATGGGTGAAAGGCTGGGATGTCTGGGGGCCTCAACTGTGACGAGCCGGCCCCTAGACAGAGGACCCCTCCCATGGCTGGCAATCTCTGCCACCCAGCCATGAGCCCCCACACCACACCAAGTCGTCCAGGCATCCATCACACCGTGTTTACAATGGAAAATAAGAGAACGTGAAGGGAGAGGCAAAAATGAAAACAAAGAAGGCACCCCATTGAAAAATGCCACCACCCTTCAGCATGCTGAAATATGTTTTGAGGCTACTGTGGAAAGTGCTCAAAGTATGTGCTGAACTCTGCTGCTGCTGACCACCATGAGCATGCATACTTCCCACTCTCTTTTAATGGACACTTCTGTGTAAGACAGACATCTCTCTGAGATGGACACCCTGCTGTTTTTCAGTCATTTTACCGTAACTATACTCTCTATAAGACAGACCCCTCTCCAAGATAGACAACGGACACTTGAGAAGTTCTTTATCAGTGAAAAATACCTCAAAAGGGAAAAGTTGGTGCTCTACATGTCAGTAATATTTTGTAGTCTTACATTTGTATTCCAGTTCGCAGAGTGTATACTGTTACATTTTTAGATGGCATCCTATTACTATGTTACAGTGTTGGCCATTTTGTACAAGTTTAACTGGTGTATTTTAATATTTATTGCAAATGGGTTCAGCTTTCTTTTTACTGTTGTCATGTTACCTCGACTCTCAATAAGCTGGACACCTCTCTAAGACGAACAGTCAAGGCCGGTCCCAATGGCATCTGTCTTTGAGAGAGTTGACTGTTTCTGCTGCTCTGCTCTTAATTCTGTTAAATTGCACTTAACCACACTAAAAATTACACTTGTTTTGCACTATCAAGTTGTCTTGGGATTTCATCATGCTTTATATTCCATTCAATAAGTTTTATCATTATCTTTAAGATCATTGGTAACCCTGGGTCAAGTCATTTCAAGTTTAGCTGATCAGTCTGGAGGTAAAGGAAGGAAAGCAATGCATGTTCCTTACAGAGATTCAGTGCTCACATGGTTACTCAAGGTAATTGCTAATTGTTAATCCCACTGTTTGTGTTTTGCATTCTGACTGCAGTTGCTTCGCAGAGTTACTTTGTAGTCACTTTGGATGTACACTAGTGTACACTGTTGAAGTCACTGTTAGTAACTGTGTGACGAGGCCAAAAAATGTTCACGATGTATCTTTGTGTAGCCATGATTGGCAGCAGGAGTTAAATATTGATCCTCACTGATCCTTTAAGACAGAGCAGGAATAACATAGGAAACATCGTCATTCATATATACATGAAGGCATCCATTGTAAAGCACTAGTTTGAGATAAATTGTGAAGTGGCCGCTGAGCATGATTAATATTGGACTATTGTGGTTGTATTATTAGGATAACCTTGGTGGCAATAGTAAAACTGTAATGGTGGCAACAATAAGTCCTGCTGCTGATAACTATGAAGAAACTCTGTCCACTCTGCGGTATGCTGACAGAGCAAAGCGTATAGTGAATCATGCTGTCGTCAATGAAGATCCGAATGCTAAGGTATTTATTATTGAATGGGACTTGTATTATACAATATATCATTCTATCTTAGTGTTAGATGTAAATAGCATCTTGCAATACTGTACAATATAGACAATGTAGTTGTGGAGTCCCCTGGTTCCACAGGTAACCCTATATACATTTAATATGGTACTAGTAAAATAAGGTTAACTCTTGAGCTTATATGTATGTGAACTTCATTTTCTTTAAGGCTAGAAAATATTTTCTTTTGTTCATTTAGATCATTCGTGAATTACGTGAAGAAGTTGATCGGTTAAAAAGAATGCTATCAGCCAAGATCGCTGGGAAATCGCATATTGTTGAGCCTGGAGAAACGACGATTGAGATTGAAGAAATGTTGTCAGAAAGTGAAAAACTGATGAGTGAATGCACCATGACCTGGGAACAGAAGGAAAAACAAACAGAGAAAATCCAACAGGTAATTTACATTGAGATTGTCTTATAGGCTCTCAATAGTATAAAAAAAATGAATATTAAGAGAAAAATGAGCAATGGCTGGCCCAGAATCCCTTTTTTGTGCTTGAAATTTCCTTGGCTCCAGCATACTCTAACAACTAGCTAAAGTGGTTTGCTACTTTTTCTGAGTCCAAGCCTTGGCCATTGTTTGTTGTTGCCCATCTAGTTGGATTTTTAACTTGGTGATTTACATGATCTTTCTGAATCGTTTAGATGTGTTCTAGCAATTATGCCCAGTGGCTCCTGAAATAATTTTTTTTACTATTGGGTGGTGACAGGAAAACTGACAAATTCTTTAAGTAGTTGTTGCGTTGGATTTTATAATTTAGGAACTTTTGGGTTTCTCGTGATGTACGCTGTATTCTTGTTGTGTGGTCTTGGAAACATTTTTTGAATTGTTTCTACCATTGTGATTCATTATCCCTGGTTGAAAAGCCAGTCATGAGGTAATTGAGCATTTTTTACTTTATTTGTTAGATTTGTTGACTTCCTTTTTCTTGTGTGTGTTTTTGTAGGAGAGACACAAAGCATTGGAAGAAATGGGTATCTCTGTACAGTCATCTGGAATTGCAGTGGAAAAGTCCAAATTTTACCTTGTTAATTTAAATGCTGATCCTTCAATGAATGAGCTGCTGGTGTACTATTTAAAGGTAGTTTTCTCTTTACATGTTCATTGAAGTGCCACCTAATTTAACATTCCCATACAAGCATGAATTTTTTCAGGCTTTCTTTTCGCAACTGCAACAGTTGCATTTATAACTTTGATGATCTTCTTTCATATAATGATTCAACACTTTCACTCCCAAAAGTGGCTTGAGTCAAAAGTCAGCAAAGGGTGTGTTTTTTGTTCAAAATCTGCCAAACTGGTGCCAGTCTTATTGTTTATTGTTTATTTCTGTTTGTAGGAACACACTGTTGTTGGAAGACCAGATGGAGTTCATAATCCAGTAAGCTGAAAAATTTGGTTCCACTGTATGGCTGTTTCGTACTAAATGTGTTTTTATTGAATCTTCAGCATATTTTTGGCTCACTCAGTGATTTTGTTTCAAAAGGTTTGGTGAGACTGCTAATTGTTCATGTCTGTGGTGTACCTCAGTAAGGTTTTGGCCAGCAGTCCAACAGTTAGAAATCATGTTACATTTTAATTGATTACAGGATATTCAATTGAGTGGACTTGGAATTTTACATGAACACTGTCAACTTGATATTGAAGACAATGAAGTGTATGTTACCCCACTTGCAAAAACAGGGTATGTATACAAACAGGAAAAAAATGTAGCTGGTGAGTTAATTATTTTGGTCTGGATTGAAGCTCACCTCTTCATTTAGATTTATATGCCTGCAGTTCACATCATCTTCATAATCTATGTTTTACTCCTTTCACCAACATTGTATGCAGGGTCCTCATAACTCAGTTGGTAGAGCACTGCAGCACCAACACAGAGGCCATGGCTTCAAATGCTGTTCAAGGCCTTTTTTTTTTGTTGGGGGGGGGGGGGGAGGGGCTAATTTAGAGTTGCCGATAATAAATTGTGAATACCACAGCGATGATCTAATTATTCTTACGTTATTTGCATTATGACAATAGAACTTGTGTAAATGGTAAACTTGTGGAAGAGAAGACTCTTCTAAAGCATGGTGATCGCATCCTCTGGGGAAACAATCATTACTTCAGAATAAACTGCCCTCGTCCTCCAGGTTTGTTGCTTTTAAGTTTAATTTTTTAATGTAGTGTAACTCATCTGCTACATTGTAAAGATATACTAAACTAACTGCGTGGTTCAGAGTGGATCATGCTGCTTATATGTCGAAAGTTTTGCATGAAAATGATAGTCCTGACATTTTATTAATTTACCATATATATATTCGTTTTCTGCAGGAAGTGAGCAACAGGTGGAGCAAACAGTTGATTTCCAGTTTGCCCAAACAGAGCTGATGATGAATGAGATTAGTTCAGGTAAAGAATGTTTAGCGTGTGTTGTTGTTTCAGACTTAACTTAGGGTACTTTCCAAAAGTCAGAATTGGCTGGCCATTCATTTTGACAATGAAATAGGCTTTTCCAAGAGCTTTTGCTGAAAAACCATCTCTTTCCTGCATACAATTTAGGATTTGACTGATCTAGCAGAATAGTTTTGACAGAGTGGTCTGGCCGGTTAGTTCTGACAAATGGAAAGCACCCTGAGATCTCTTGTCTTTGGACAGTTATTGCTATCCCAGGGCTCGAAAAAAATTTGAATTCCAGCTTGCCCTTTGGGTAATCAGCTCTCACATTTTGCTTGCAGGGGCCACTTCCTGTTTGCCTTAGTTAAAGATTTTGTTAGAGAATTATTTTCCTGGACCCTTGCCCACCTACCCCTCCCCTAGGCCAGCATTTTGCCCTAAATAAGAAGTAAGTGTTAATGTTGGCTTGGGGCGGGGCAGAGGGGGGAGGGTGGTCAGTTTTCCATAAACTTATAATTATCTCGACCTTTTTCGAGCCCTGTATGCCCTTTAAGAATCCAGCTTCCCTTACTTGAGAGCATCATTAAGTGGCAGTAATTCTGACAGTGTTGATTTTTCAATTTTTACAGGACCCCTTAAAGATTCGGTCAAAGCTTTAGAGGAACAGTACAAAGCCGAAAAACAAGGTACGTTGTAGCTTGAGCTCCTTTTAATTACAGTCAAACCACTGTTAAACAGACATCGAGGGACCATAGAAAGGGTCCTTAGTAATGGGGTGTCCGTATTAAGCGGGTTGAATTTATAACCGCTGCCTGGTTAGCTCAGTTGGGAGAGTGCTGGTCTGCCGAGCAGGAGGTCGCATGTTCAAACCCCGGCTCGGACCAACACTCAGGGTCTTTAAATAACCAAGAAGAAAGTGCTGCCTTTGTATTGACGTCTGCAAATCGTTAAACTTTCTCTCTCGGATAAGGACGAAAAACCATAGGGGTCCCGTCTCACAGCACTTTCACTGATTTGTTCCTGTGGGACATAAAAGAACCCACATCACTATTTGAAAAGAGTAGGGGTCCTAGACCCCGGTGGTGTGGCCAACCTTTACAGATTGTGGGATTGAATAGGGATGGCACCTCGCATAAGACCTGAGTTCCGTTCCTGCCCATTCCCTCTGGGAAGACCTGTGTTCAGAAAAGCTGGCAAATAAATTAATGAATAAATAAATAAATTTAAATAAATAGAAAATGTAAGGGTTTTGTTTCACCAGGGACAAAGCAATGATGTGATAATGAGGTATCTCGTATAACGGGGTTTGACTGTGTGTCATTTTCCATTGTCCTTCAGTTCCTCAGAACCACGCATAGTAGCCTGCATTGCAGGCGCTTGGAAGTAGTGGGCACAAGAAAAACCGGGCGCGCGAGAAGGAGACACGCGTGTCTCCCTCGCGCGCGCCCGTTCTCTCTTTCGCCCACCACTTCCGAGCGCCTGCTACGCAGGCTATACGCATAGTGAGGGACACCCTTGTTACCCTAACCCTGGACAACAGTATAGGACTTTTATCGAGCACTTCAAAATGTCTCTGGCCAGTTGGCACTCTCTGTCCATGATTAAGCAAAGAATACGGTTAATAGTAATAGTAAAAGTAAGGAACCTTAGAAAGCGTTCAATATCAATAGATTAAAGTGCTTTTCCATTCTAGGATGTTAGTTATAGGTAAATAAACAAGCGCTCAAGTCATAAAGTGAAGTACATGTACTACTTACAACCTAACAAAAACCGAAAAGACTGTTCTCTTTAAAATTATTGTTAAAAGACCAAGTGGAAGAGTTGTTTAACTAAAAAATAGACGTAAAACAAAGCAAATATGTTTTACTGCATCAACACAAAAACTTAACAGCAGATTTAATTATTTTCAGGGGCGTTAGATAAACAGCGTCAAATGTATGAAGAACAGATACAAGAACTCAGAAACCAAATGGGTCCACGGCAGATCATGGAACGGGCGTCAAGCATTGGTTCTTTCAGTTCAGGATATGGTTCATCACGAGTGTCTTGGATTGAAGACAGGTAAGGACAACCAAAGTTAAAACTGGACTTTTTTAACGATAAAAACCTGACATGGCGTGAAGTGTTGGTGTTAGTGTTTAAATGGTCCAAAAATCACGGTACAAGGCATTATTTTGTGACCAAACATTTGCGTATTCTTAATATCAATCAAACGTCCAAGGGAAACATTAATTCCGTTGAAACTGCACTTGCCACAGAAAAGACTGCAACAAAATTTAGTGTTTGTAAGAGGCATGTTGTTAAAGCCTGTCTTGACGGTAACCTTTTTTTCCACTTTTGGAATTACAACGTTTATGGTAAGTTGAAAATCTAAAATTATATTCCTTTTCTTTTTTTACTAGTAGGGAAAACTTGGTCCAGTTTGAAAGAAAACCCTTAGTTTTAAGGGAAGAGGTTATCAAGGCTAATGCTCTCGTCAGGTGATTATGAACTCATCTTATTCTTGTACACTTGAAAATTAACTGCCCAGGTACATACAAATTGAATTTGCATTAGAGTTGACCAAAGTTCTTATGTCTTCAGTGTTAAATTTATTGCTTCTTGATTTTTTCCACGCTTTTTTGCATTTAGGGAGGCAAACCAGTTAAGCGAAGAGATGAGCAAAGAAACTGAATTTGCTGTTACACTACAGGTACAATTCCGAAACGTTTTTATGCGCAAGCTAATGTAAGCCGTTTCCTCTAGCATCGGCATATCCATCCTCGGAGACCCAGTGGCAGATAAAGGGGGCGAGGGAAAAAATATATATGGAACGAAGAAAAGTAAAGTCTTCGTGCCACATTTTTCCGCCCGTTTAGACTTTCCCTCGTCCCCACTATCTGCCCCTGGGTCTCCGAGGATGCGGGATATCGTTTATAAGCGGGATTTTATGGCAACTTAAGTTTATTTGTAAGAGCCTGAGCATCTGATAGTAGCTTGGGAAAGTTCAAACACACGCGCCCGCGATTTTTCAAACCGTTTTCATTGGGGATTCATCCATAGCGCAGTGGTTTCAAAACTCGTACTAAGATGTTTCGTTGTCATCGTCGACGCCATTGTGGGTTGATCCATTTCGCGTTGGTTCTCTCCGTTTTGATGCGGTTTCAACAGTCCACCGTAAAACGTTCCTCAAAAAGAACAATTCCAAATTCCAATTCGACCAGGAATCAGGTATGCGCATGAACCACTAAACACCCGCGCCCGCGATATTTTCTGTCACCGTTTTCATTGTGATGTGTTTTCGACCATCCACGCGAAGACGATATGTATGCGTTTTAGTTTTGACCCACTTTCAAGAGCGTTTTCTATTCGATGCGTTTAGATGAAAACGCTCAGCGTATTAGTGTGAACGGAAGGCCTAACCGCATCGAAATGTGTCAGTGCGTTTTGTAATGAAAACGCGTTAGTGTGAACGGGGCCTCGGAAGCCTTGAATTCAATTGCCTGCTTTCTATTTTTGCCAGATTCCCACATCAAGCTTAAGCTTTGGTCGAAGCAGATCAGGATTTAGCAGTGAAGTCGCCATTGTAGTCAAGCACAAATCTAAAGGAACCCAAAGTGAGTGGACGTGATCCCTGTAAGCCACTAAGCTCATCTATGTAGTGTTCCTTAACCTTTATTTTCACCTAACCTCTTTGTGTCATGTGGCGTAAATGGCCTCAATGCTCTTCCCGCAATTGGCTTTGTTAGTCGTTGTCATGTTTATGTCACTCCCTTTCTCTCTGTCATCCTTCCCCTGGTTGTCTTTTTCTGCTCCGTAGTTCTCACATTCTTGTGCCATATTCCAACGTAATCTTTTGGGGTCATAAGTGATTTGATCGGCAGGCACAGCTGTAGACTGCGAGTAGTCCCCATTTTTCCTAAGGAATAGTGGAGCGAACGAGCGAAACGCGAGCGCGCGTAAAAATCACCCCACGCGAGAAAGGCGAGTTCCTGAGGAAAAATGGGGACTACTAACTCATAGTCTAGCACAGCTGTTCGGGTCACTGAGACACGCAAACCTCACCATCGAAAGAAGGTGCCACCTAAAAGTGGAAAAGGTCTACTATTTCTTGCTATTAATTTCCTTCGCAAACTCTTTTTTTTTCAGTTTGGTCGCTGGAGAAACTTAACAACAAGATTTACGACATGAGAGACTTGTACAACCAATGTGTGGAAGATGGCATTCCCTTCTCTGAAACGGTATGTTTAGACTTAAATGTCTTATTCACTGGGTGGGTTTTAAAATAGAAGTGGCATTATATGGTGTGAGTCATCGAGCTAGAAACCTAGAAACAAGTAAATGCGACCGATTTCTCTGATAATGGTAAATTCTTTCTTAAACTTTGTCTTATATCAAGGAGGGAGGGGGTGGGGAGTTGGGGTTTGTTGGCAGGGGGAGGATGGTCGGAAACTGTGTGGCTTTAGTTATTCATTGATGGACCACTGCAAGCTGTACTTTTGGCGTGTGGAATGTGAGCTGTAAATTAGACCTGGTAAGCATCAGTTGTAAATCCAACATTTTATAACACTTAGTGGTTTGATATTCCATATTAGTTGCCCTACGAGTAAAAAGTTGGGCACGTACATGTGGTTCAATTTTATTCTTGGTTTAAGTTTTGCCTCCCTTTGTTTTTTCATACCAGAATGCTATTAAACCATAACATATATTTCAAACACAACTGAACTGAATAAACTTTGTGATTGTTCCGTAGGATGAAAATCTGGATTTGTTCTTTGAGGTCGAGTGCCACACGCTTATAGGGGTAGCCAATCTCTTCCTTGAATGTCTGTTACATGACGTGAGTCATGAGTACGCTGCACCAATCATCAGTCAACAGGGCGAGGTAAGAATGAATGGAATTATCTTATTTTCAACCAACAATAACAGAGACTGCTTCAAATATATAGGCAACGTTTTTCTTCCTCTGAAATGTTGGCTCACTTTTAAGTGACAATGAAATCCCTTTTTTGCAGGTTTGTGGTCGCTTGAAGGTGGAAGTGTCCAGATTATCGGGTAACTTCACATGTCTTTGTAATACATTGAATTCGAGATACGAGATATTGAAATGCCCTTGTTGCAGAACATTCTTACTGGTCCATCCCATCATAGCCTGAGAGCAAACTCTCTGTAAGGCGAATATCGTGAAAAGCAAACGCGAGCAGCACGTGGAAGAAGAGTGAGGGGCGGGGGCGTTCTCTCACGGATAGTTTTGCTCGCCACTCGAAATGGAGAGCTTGCACACAGGCCGTCCCGGGTTTGACTCCCTAGGATACTGTTGAAATTGTAATTTCAGAAAATATTCATATCCCCACAGGAGAACACTTTTGTCTCAGACCCCCCTCCTCCCGGGAAATTCCATTCCATAGGGTGTGGGTCATAGCCTTTCCAACCCGCACGCCCACCTCCCTCGAATTTTCGTGATTTTCCCTATTTTTATTCAAAAATTGCAGAGAATGAAGTGTCATTTTTTAGCCCCATGCCTTCTCTTGTTTTTAATGGTGATTGAAAAGCACGAAATTCCTCCAGCAGTCTTCTATGCTTTGTGTTAACAGAGAAAGCCATGAGGAAATTGTCGAAGCAGTCCAGAGATGACGAAGAGACGGGGGAATCCAGCGCAGACGAGGACGATTTGTTAGTCATAAATGACGAAGATGACGACGATGATGAACTCGTGCGAGGGTCTCCTATGCACGTCGAAGTGAAAGTGGTAGAAGCTTACGATCTTCCACCGGCGCTGTGCAATTATGTGTTTTGTCAGTACAAGTTCTGGAATGATGATAACACTATTGTTGTACCGCCCATCAATGCTAGTATCTCAAACCCTGGACCCAAAACCAACACCATGATATTTGAACACAAGCAGGTAGGATTGAATATGGCGCGCTTTTAAACTCTATTTTTTGGTTCTTTTTAAAAAAAGTTGCTGGAACAGTAAGTGAAAGAGATGCCGTTTACACGTATTTGCATTATGTTTGGATTACATCATGTGTTTGTTTCCGCAAACCGAAAAAGTGGTCAAAAATCTGTAATTAGTGGCGTTGGCTCTTGGCGTTGTCTTATGCGTAGACCAAGTTTAACTACATATCATAATCTCAATAGCGAGCCTAAGCAACGAGGGCGCTAATGTCCCGGCGGTCATGAATGACAAACAGAATTTTGGTGTTAACACAACTGAGTCTGAACGCATTTTTTGATAGTATGACTTTATCGAGGCAGAGGGCTGAACCAGATAATATATCAGCTTGTGGCTGTTATTTCTGACGTTCAGAACGTCAATGGTCTCGCTGCTTGACTTCGCTGATTATAAACAAAGTTAATACACTGGCCAATCACGATTGACAATCTTCCAACCAATCTGAACAGAAAGCATACGTGTGTAACCAACGCCAAACGCCGGAAATATGTGCGACCAGTTCACAATTGCTTCCGGTTTACTTCCGATTGGTCAAGAGACTGGTACGAGATTTCTTAGCCAGTCATGTGACATAACATACTGGTTTAGAACCAAAGAATTGGCAGATATTACTTTTCACTAATTATGTGAAAATTGCTTTATGTATGTTATTTTAGCAATTCGATATGGAAGTCACAGAAGAGTTTGTGGAGTACGCATCTGAGGGATCGCTAGCTATTGAAGTATGGGGAAACAGGATGAAAGGGTTTGACTCACAGAAGAATATGATGGTCAACTGGAATGTGGAACCACAACAAAAGGGACTTCATGACAGGTATCAAAACAGGGGCATGCGCATTGGGGTTTTTGGGTTTGTGTTTAGTGTGAAAGGTTTCAACCTGGGAGTCATTTCAAGTAGGTGGAGCGTGATCGTCCGGCTGAGCGTAGTCCGGAGTAGGAATTTTTTTGGGGAGAGTGACTGACGTTTCGACAACCTGTACGGTAGTCATGTTCAGAGTGAGTCAAAGTTAGTTGTATCACGTCAGTTGATGGTATCAAACTCTGGTTATTGACCTGTTAGGTCAGTTAGGTCGCGATGTTAGTCCTCAACTTTGCGCTTTTTCGATCTGAGCGTCCTTATGTGTTTTAATTTTTTTGTTTGTGAATGTTCAGTTGTTGGTTCTCGTAAAAAGAATTTTTTTTCGAGCATCCATATTTGCAACTGTTTCCTGTTCTGCTTTGTCTGTACGGCGAAACATTAACAAGTTAAAGCCAAACTATCTGTTAATTCCAAAATCTAACTCAACGATTATCAAGTCCAAGTTTCACAGTCAAACCCTACGATTCTGCAGTCCTCCAAAATGTCGACGTAAATCTGTGACGCAAATTGTCTTTCACACAGACGCTCCCAAAAATACTTTTAAAGCGTGGGTGAAATATGTGAATTTGCCTTTTTGATCACTAAGGTTTGCGCCTCTCCCCCTTCCTCTTTGTTATCGACAACTTTTGAATAACTGTGGGTGATCCCTGGCGTGTGAGAGACGGCTGTAGCTATCAGGAGGCAGCGTGGCCGAGTGGTTAGAGCGCTGGTCTTGCAATTCGGAGGCCCCCGTGTTCAAGTCCCGCCCTGACCGCTAGCTGGATTTGTTCACGGTAGTCCCGAGTTCAAATCCTCCACCATGCTTGTGAATAGCCAGCTGGTTTGCTCCCGGCCAGTTGGGATTCTTAACCCAGTTATGTTTCATTAGGCTGATTTAGCAACAGAACGGGAACGTCAGTTGGCGACGGGAAAGCGCGCGGAAAGGACCATACGCGACTTCCGGTGCCCAATTTGCCGCTCTGTCATTGGTCGAGCCAGTTTCTTGATTTGCGCGCGCCGTCGTTAGCTGGCGTTCCTATTCTGTTGCTAAATCAGCCTATTATATTTGAATTATTTGTTCAGTCACTTGCTCGGCCCCACTAGCATTAGTGCTATAAATACTGCCGAGGGTAAATAAGGAATTATTTATTTATTTGTTTGTTTATATAAACCATAACTTGAGAGGTTCTTCATTTCAGGTGGGGTGAACTGCTAAGAAAAATACATCTATGGGTGGAAATACTTGAGATCAATGACCAAGGAGTGTATGCACCAGTCGAATTACATCTTCAAAAGGACAATCAAACAGGGGGCATTTTTCAACTACGGCAGGGTCACTCTCGGCGAATCAAGGTGCAAGTTCAGCCAGTGCCAAGGGCGGGGTCACTTCCGGTCGTATGTAATATGATCTCCGCTGTGTACATTGGCAGTGTTTGTTTGAGGACCAAGAATCAACAGCCCTTGGATAGCTATCAAGAAAAGGACCTCTCAATGTAAGTATGCGGATATTTAGTTATTTATCTCTAAATATCGCTCTTCTTCCTTGTTTTAGTTTTCTCGCATTTTCATGTAACATATCAAGCATTATACACTGTGTTTAATCACAACATCAAACAAGGGGAGAAAGTTGAAAATACGATGCGCAGTGTAGTATTTTTGACGAATTGCCAGGAAATCAAATACTTTGTCGAATGTTTAATATTACCTTTCAAATGAAACGATTTTAGAAAGAGAGATGAAGAATGCCATGATGAGGAGTTTTTCCAACTGATTTCCAAACGCTCATGAAACATTAATTTCCTTCGTATGTTCTTTACGAATTATTAATGATGTTGAGAACCACTCGAGAACGAGCAAACAACTGCTCGTTTTGGCTTTGCAGTTTCAAAGTCCTCTTAGCTGTTTCTGTAAAGGGGAATATGAGTCGCCGAAGTACCAACCCTAGATGTGAATTGCATGTTGTGGAACAACTCCGTTATTCACCACGCTCTGAACATCAAGTTGAGAACACGGGGAAAAACTATGCCCGGCGTAATCGCAAGACTAAATTCCAGTCAGTTGAAGACCGCTGTGTGTTAATTGGTTGCTGTTTTGTTTTCTTATAGTCTGCGAGAGAAGTGGTCGACTTCACTAATGAAAAGGCGTGAGTACTTGGATG